TCCTGTGGCTATTGTTTCTTAAAAAATAATCAGCTCAAAATAATCCTTATGCCTTAGAGGCATGTTTTGGGGTGTCATATTCTGCTCCCCTTCACACATTTATCCAATTCAGCCACCACCCCCATTTCATATTCCTAATCCCCCTTCTCCTCTCCTTTTACATTTTTCCATAGTACTTTTCTTCTTATTAAAAGATGAGATCAGCCCTGGCCCGTTTGGCTCAGGGGTTAGAGCGTCGGCCTGCAGACCAAAGAGTCCTGGGTTCGATTCTGGCCAAGGGCACGGACCTCTGTTGCGGTTCGTCCCCGGCCCCGGTTGGGGTCGTGAGGGTGGCAACCAGTCGATGTGTCTCTCTCACGTGGATATTTCTCTCTTTCTCTCTCTCTCTCTCCCTCCCTCCCACTCTGAAGATAAATATAAAAATATCCTTGGGTGAGGATTAAAAAAAAACAAACAAAAAAAAACTTGAGGGGCCCTCCTTAATAAAAAAAAAAAAAGATGAGATCATTTATTCACTTGCTATGCTTATTGTTTGTCTTCCTCCATTCCTAGAATGTAACTCCATGAGTTGGAATCGTTTGTCCATTTCATTTACTGAGCTGTCCCCAGTGCCTAGACCAGCTGCTGGCACTTGGCAGGCACTCATTCAATCTTTGTTAAATAAATGAAACTAGGTTGTCAAACCCTCTTGGATTAGAAAAAGCAGCTTCCCCAAAACTGGTCTTCTTGGAAATAAAAACATAAAAGCAGCCAGAACCCCACCCCCCATTTGTCTTCTTCCCAGGGAAGCTGGGGGGGGGGGGATCTCCCTCCTGGCTGGAGATTCTCCCAGAAATGCTTCTCCATGTCCCCTCCAACTGTTTTCGTTTGATGGGGAAGTTCTCCCCTCAAGGGCACCCAACTGTCCTGCGTATCACCGACTCCACGAGCAGGACTCACGACGGAGGGACAGACGAGAGCTCCAGGAGCAGGCCAGCAGAGGCCCTCATGACCTGTGTTGGTGGCCGGGAAACCTGACCACGGTGGCCTGTCTTGGAATGTACCCAGAGGCCTCATCTGCCTACCACACACCTCCCTTCTAGTTTGGGGGCCAAGCAGCCTGAACAGCCTGAGGAGGAGCCCATAACCGGCAGAGAGGGTAACTGCAGCACTCACAGCACAATCTCAAGTTTTAAGGAAAATTCCACGGGTTCTCCTTCCTTACAGGAATTTCTACCCTTTTCAAAGGAAAAAGAAAGACGACTCGTAACGATCCCTCCCTTCACTGGGCCGAGGGCTGGGCGACCAGGCAGGACCTGCAACGAATTAGATTAGCAGAGAGGCAGGTATGATTCACCCACCGATCATTCACAAACAGAGCAAGCTGTTCGGTTTCGCAACTGAGGCTCAAAAGGCGAAGCGGTTTGTGTTTCGCAGACCTACTGCAGCATCTGGCTTCAACTTCCAACTGGTGATTTAGTCGCCAACCTGCAGGGGAAAACCCAGCTCCTCCTCATCAGGCAAGACTCGCCCAGCCCAGCGTGGGGCTGAGGCAGCAGCTAGATAAGAACAGGAATGAAAAAGCAGGGAGAGATTTGTGAGTTGAGAGGAGTCTAGGGGTTGGGGGAGTGATTGGGGGTGGGAGGGGCATTGAAGGGATCAAAGGGCGCCCCCTCAGGCCAAACCTGTGGAAAGTGCTTTGATCTCCTAATCACATCTATTTATCTTGGGTCCAGCCTGAGACAAAAGAACCACCAGAAGGACCATCCTTTGAGGGCAGGCCGGGCTTCTCCCAGGCTCCCCGAGGGCCACTCTGACCACTTGCTTCTCTGTGGGTACTGGGGACCTTGGGCAACCAAGAAGGCAGTCCGTCCTGGGATCTCTGAGCCCAGAAAGCTACCAACAGGGAGAGGGGGGCTAGAAATTACTGGACTATGACCTCAGAACTAGGCCTGGAAAATGAGAAGTAGTGGCCAGACCTGAAGTGGCAGCCCGATGCAGAGGCAAGAGCAGACACTTGTCCTCGAAGATCTCCAAGTGTGTGTTGTGGAGACAGGCGGGCCGGAGTGGGGGAGAAGCCAGTCAGTTCTCAGTGGCCTTTCATTCGGCTTCTCCCACATCTAATAACAACAGTGATCACAACACTTACTTTGTGCCTGGCACTGTTCCTCATACTGTCCCTTTATGAACCCACAGCTATACTACCATAACCCCCATTTTACAGATGAGGAAACTGAGGCACAGAGAGGTTAAGCGACTCACACAAGGTTATCTGATCTGCAAATGCGGAGCAGGACACTTGGACGCAGACAGACTGGCTCCGTGGTCCACAGGCCTCACCACTGAGCCTACAGCTCGCTCACCCCCATTTTCTTCCCCTCCTGCCTTCTGACCCCGAACTAAGACCCAGGCAAAACCAGGACATAAGCGGCCCTGATCTGGCTGTAACATCTAGACTTGTCCTCGTCCTCATCTATTTTGTCAAATGCCAATACCACCCCCCTGCCCCAGGGGGGGGGGGGGCAGGGTCGAAGCTTGAAAGACACCGGGAATGTGAAAGTTGTTGAAAAAACAACAACAAAATGATAGCGCTATGCAAATGTAGTCTATTGTTCTTTTCTTTCCTCTCTCCACTCCTCCGGGCTTCCCGAGAGATCAAAGTGAGGAGAGGTGAGTGGTGGAAAGAGCTTAGAAAGCAGAGCTGACGGCGGGAGGGGGTGGGAAGCTTTTCGGGGCTGGAAAGGGCTGAAACCACTCTCCTTGAGGGTCTACCAGCAGAACCCTTTGTCTTGCAACTCCAGGAGGCGCCATTCACATAGGATACAGTACTAATGGTGACCCCTGGAGTCATTCACCGTGCCTACCAGGCTGAGTGGAAGAAGCTTCTAGAAAGGGCACTTCTGCCGCAGGGGGAATAGGCCAGCCCTGACCACAGCCCCTGGGCCTGGGGAGCATGAACTGAAAGGCCCGAGGTGTTGGGGGGGAGGGTTAGGGAAAGGGCAGAGGCCAAGAGAGGGGTGTAGGGAGGCCCAGGAGGCGAAAGCGGGGCCGCCGATGGAGAAGGCACAGGGAAGCCCCCGCCCCGCCCGGGCTGTGGGAGGGAGACCCTGACCACATCAGGGGTGTGTGGCGAGGAAATGAGGCCTCCTTAGGAACGAGCTGCAAATGAGAACCGTATGGAGTTTCGGGATCCCCGAAGGAACACAGGGAAAGGATACAGTTGCGTCCATGGGAAAGTTATTATCATCCCGGCTGAAGTTAAACATTCAGGAGGGTCTGCTTTCCATCTCCTCCGCCTGGGAGCCTGCGAAGGGGGAGGTGCGCCGGCTCGGCAGGAGGGCCTGGGGGGGTCACGTTTTCCGAGGGGAGCCGGGGACGGCAGGGAGGGGCTGTCAGAAGCAGCTGGGGGAGGCCCTCCGAGCCCGCAGCCTCTGCTCCTGCCTTGTGTCTGCTTGATCTCCCCCCGCGCTCAGGAAGCCGGTCTGCAAACCGCGGGGTCTCCCTGGGAGGTGTCGCAAGCTGCGCGTTACCTCTCCAAGTCCCTGCGCGGATGGAGGAGGGGTGAGGTCCCTGGGCCCTGAAGAGAAAAACACATCACGGAGAACTTGGAAGGATCTGCGGGAAGACACGGGGTTCGGGCTGCGGGATGGTTCTCCCTCCCCTCCAGATGTGCTAGGGGTGGACGTGAGTCCGAGAAAGAATGGGGACCAGCCTCCAGGTGCCCTGCCTCCACCAGCATCCACTGGTGACCTTTGGGACAATAAAGCTGCCTCAGAAAATGGCCCTCCTGCCCTGGCCGGTTTGGCTCAGCGGTTAGAGCGTCGGCCCGCAGACCGGAGAGTCCCGGGTTCGGATCCCGCTAAGGGCATGTGCCTCGGTTGCAGTTTGTCCCCAGCCCTGGTTGGTCGTGTGGGTGGCAGCCACTCGATGTGTCCCTTTCACATTGATGTTTTTCTCTCTCTCTTCCTCCCTCTCTCCTTCCCGCTCTATCTGAAGATAAATGCAAAAGTGTCCTCAGGTGAGGATTAAAACAAAAACAAACAAACAAACAAACGGCCTGGGGGAAGCTGGGTTTTCAGGCTTCAGGAGCAAAAGTGTGTGGGCAGAAAACAGTGGCCTCCAAGCCTGCGAGGACCTAGCACCTTCTCAGGCCCTCAGAGAGGGCTCCTTCCCAGCTACCCCTCTGCCCAGAGATTTTCTTTTTCTTTTTTTAATTGAATGTATTGCGGTGACACTGGTTCATAAAACCATACAGGTTTCAAGTGTACAACTCAACAAAACATCATCTGCACACTGCATCGCGTGCCCATTGCCCAAAGCCAATCTCTTTCTGGCCCCATTTATTTCCCCTTTGCCCCCCTCCCCTTACCCCCGGCTCCCTTTCCCTCTGGCTAGCCCTACACTCTACACTGCTGTGTGTCTATGTGTTGTGTACGCGTGTGTGCGGGTGTTTTTGCTTAATACCTTCACCTTCTTGCATCCAGCCCTCCAACCCCTTTCCCTCCGATAGCTGTCAGTCTGTTCCATGTATCCATGACTCTTTCATTTTGTTCATAAGTTTATTTTGTTCGATTCTACATATAAGTGAGGTCCTACAGTATTTGTCTTTCTCTAACTGGCTTGTTTTACTTAGCATAATAATCCCCAGGTCCATCCAAGCTGTTCGCAGAAGGTAAGATTCCTCCATTTTTGCGGCCGAGTAGTATTCCGTTGTGTAAATGTACCACAGCCTTTTATCACTCATTTTTATCATTCATCTGCTCGTGGGCACTTGGGCCGTTTTCAGATCTTAGCCATTGTAAATAACGCTGCTATGAACATAGGGGTGCATACATTCTTCTAAATTAGAGTTTCAGGTTTCTTTGGATATATTCCCAGAAATGGGATTGCTGGGTCAAAGGCAGGTCCATTTTAAATTTTTTTGAGGAAACTCCATATTGTTTTCCACAGGGGCCCCACCAATCTGCATTCCCAACAACAGAGCATGAGGGTTCCCTTTTCTCCACATCTTTGCCAGCACTTGTTGTTTGTTGACTTATTGATGGCGGCCATTCTGACAGGTATGAAGTTATATCTCATTGTAGTTTTAATTTGCATCCCTCTGATGATTAGTGATGTTGAGTATTTTTTCATATTTCTATTGACCATTTGTATGTATTCTTTGGAGAAGTGTCTATTCGGGTCCTTTGCCCATTTCTTAATTGGGTTGTTTCTCTTCTTGGTGTTCAGGTGTATAAGTTGTTTATATATTTTGGAAATTAATCCCTTACCAGATGTATCATTGGCAAATATGCTCTCCCATTCAATGGGTTATCTTTTTATTTTGTTGATGTTTTCTTTTGCTGTGCAAAAGCTTTTTAGTTTGATGTAGTTCCATTTATTAATTTTTTCCTTTGTTTCCTTTGCCCGAAGACATATGATGGCAAAAATATTGCTACAGAAATTTCTGAGATTTTACTATCTATGTTTTCTTGTAGGATTTTTATAGTTTTGTGAGTTACATTTAAGTCTTTAATCCATTTTGAGTTTATTCTTGTGTGTAGTGTAAATTGGTGGTCAAGTTTCTTTCTTTCTTTCTTTCTTTCTTTCTTTCTTTCTTTCTTTCTTTCATGTATCTGTCCAATTTTCCCACCCACATTTATTGATAAGACTGTCTTTACCCCATTGTATGTTCTCGCTTCCTTTGCAAATATTAACTGACCATACAGGCATGGTTTTATTTCTGTGCTGTCTATTCTGTTCCATTGATCTATATTCCTGTTCTTGTACTAATACCATACTGTTTTGATTACTGTGTCCTTGTAGTATAATTTGATATCAGGTAGTGTGATATCCCCAACTTTGTTCTTTTTTCTCAAGATTGCTGAAGTTATTTGGTTTATTTTGTGGTTCCATATAAATTTTTGGAATACTTGTTCTATATCTGTAAGATATGACATTTATATTTTAACAGGAATTGCATTGAATCTGTAGGTTTGCTTTGGGTAGTATGGACATTTTAATGGTGTTAATTTTTTCTATCTATGAACATGGTATATGCTTCCACTTATTTGTATCTTCCTCGGTTTCTTTTTCAGTATCTTATAATTTTCCAAGTACAGGTCTTTTACCAACTTGGTTACATTTATTTCTAGGCACTTTTTTTTTTGGAATAGTAAATGGGATTGTTTTCTTTCTTTCTTTCTTTCTTTCTTTCTTTCTTTCTTTCTTTCTTTCTTTCTTTCTTTCTTTCTAATCCTCACCCGAGGATAGTTTTCTATTTATCTTTAGATAGAGTGGGAGGGAGGGAGACAGAGAGAGAGAAACATCAATGTGAAAGAGACACATAGACTAGTTGCCTCCTGCACGACCCTGACCAAGGTCGGGGACGAACTGCAACCTAGGTACATGCCCTTGACTGAAATTGAACCCACAACTCATTGGTCTGCAGGCCGATGCTCTAACCGCTGAGCCAAACCAGCCAGGGCAATGGGATTGTTTTCTTAATTTCTGTTTCTGATAGTTCATTATTGGTGTATAAAAATTCCACCAATTTCTGAATATTAATTTTGTATCCTGCTATTTTGCTGAATTCATTTATTAGATTTAGTAGTTTTTTGGTGGAGTCTTTAGGGTTTTCTATATACAATATGATGTCATCTCAAATAATGACCGTTTTACTTCCTCCTGCCTTTCATTTCTTCTTCCTGTCTGATTGCTGTGGCTAGGACTTTCCATACTATATTGATAAGAGGAATGAAAGCGGATATCCCTGTCTTGTTCCCAATTTTAAGGGAAACACTTTTAGTTTTTGCCCATTGAGTATGGTGTTGGCTGTGAATTTGTCATATATGGCCTTTATTACATTGAAGTATTTTCCCTCCATTCCCACTTTGCTGACAGTTTTTATCATAAATGGGTGCTGGATTTCATCAAATGATTTTTCTGCATCTATTGATATGATTCTGTGATTTTTTTGTTTATGTGATGTATCACATTTATTGATTTGCAAATATTGTACCAACCTTGCATCCCCAGAACAAATCCCACTTGATCATGGTGTATGATCTTTTTACTGTATCACTGGATCCAGTTTGCTAATATTTTGTTGAGGATTTTAGCCACTATGTTCATCAGGGATATTAGCCTATAATTTTCTCTCTTTGTTGTGTCTTTATCTGGTTTTGGAATTAGTATAATACTTACCTCATAAAAAGAGCTTGGAAGTCTTTCTTCTTCCTGAATTTTTTGGAATAATTTGAGAAGGATAGGTGTCCTTTGAATATTTGGTAAATTTTGCCTGTGAAGCCAACTGGTCCAGGACTTTTGTTTGCTGGGAGGTTGTTTTTTTTTTTAATTATTATTTTGATTTCATTAGTTGTAATCTGTCTGTTCAGATTCTCTGATTCTTCCTGATTCCGTTTTGGAAGATTGTATGTTTCTGGGAATTTATACATTTTGTTCAGATAGTCCAATTTGTTGGCAGATAGTTGTTCGTAGTATTTTTTTTTTTTTACAATCCTTTGTATTTCTGTGGTGTCAGTTGTTATTTCTTTTCTTTTATTTCTGACTTTATTTATTTGGGTCCTCTCTCTTTGTTTCTTGATGAGTCTGGTTAAAGGTTTGTTAATCTTGTTTATCTTTTCAAAGAACCAGCTCTTGGTTTCATTGATCTTTTATATATATATATATTTTTAAGTCTCTATGTTATTTATTTCCACTCTAATCTTTATTATTTTCTTCCTTCTACTTACTCTGGACTTCGTTTGTTGTTCTTTTTCTAGTTCTTTTTTTTTTTTTTTTTTTTATCCTCACCCGAGGACATTTTTGCATTTATCTTCAGATAGAGCAGGAGGGAGAGAGGGAGGAAGAGAGAAAGAGAAACATTGACATGAGAGAGACACATCAAGTGGTCACCACCCACACGACCCCAACCAGAACCAGGGACAAATCACAACCGAGGTACGTGCCCTTAGCAGGAACCGAACCCAGGACTCTCCAGTCCACAGGCCGACACTCTAACCACTGAACCAAACCGGCCAGAGCTAGTTCTTTTAAGTATAGGGTTAGATTGGTTATTTAAGATTTTTCTTGCTTCTTGAGGTTGGCCTATGATGCTATGAATTTCCTTCTCATGACTGCTTTTGCTGTGTCCCATAGATTTTGGGTTGTTATGTGTTTATTGTCATTTGTCTCTGGGTAATTTTTGCTTTCTTTCTTGATCTCACTGTTAACCCATTCATTGTTTAATAACATGTTATTTAGCCTTCATGTATCTGAACGTTTTGAGTTTTTTAATTGCAATTGATTTCTAATTTCATACCAGTGTTGTCAGAGAGGATGTTTGATATGATTTCAATCTTCTTGAATTTAAGACTTGTTTTGTGTCTTAACATGTGGTCTGTTTTTGAGAATGTTCCGTGTGCACTTGAAAAGAAGGTATATTCTGCTGTGCTGGGATGAAATGTTTTGTAAAGTATCGATTAAATCCATCTGATTGTGCTGTTTAAGGTTGCTGTTGCCTTGTTGATTTTTTGTCTGGAAGATCTATCCATTGATGTCAGTGGGCTGTTAAAGTCCCCTACTCTGACTGTATTACTGTCAATGTCTACCTTAATGTCCACCAAGATTTTCTTTATATATTTAAGTGCTCCTATGTTCAGTACATATATGTTTACAAGTGTTACATTCTCTTGTTAGATTGATCCTCTTAGTATTATGTAGTGACCTTCTTTGTCTCTTGTTATGGCTTTTAAAGTCTAGTTTGTCTGATACAAGTATTTCTACCCCAGGTTTTTTTTGTTTACATTTTCATGGAATGTTTTTTCCATCCCTTCACTTTCAGTCTGTGTATATCTTTTGTTCTGAGGTGGGTCTTTTGTAGACAGTATATATATGGCTCATGTTTTCTTATCCATTCAGCTACCCTATGCCTTTTGATTGGATCATTTAATTCATTTACATATAAGGTCATTACTGATGGGTACTTATTTATTGCTATTTTATTCTTTATACCTATGTTGCTCTCTTTCTTTCTTTCTTTTTCTGCTTCTTCTTAAAGCAGGCCCTTTAACTTTTCTTGCAATAGTGGTTTGGTGGTAATGAACTTCTTTATCTTTTTTTTCTTTATCTAGGAAGCTCTGTATTTCTCCTTCACTTTTAAATGATAGCCTTGCTGGATAGAGCACTATTGGTTATAGGTCCTTGCTTTTCATCACTTTGAATAGTTCATGCCAATCTCTTCTGGTCTGAAGTGTTTCTGTTGAGAAATCAGCTGACAGCTTTATGGGAGCTCCTTTGTAGGCAACTAACTGTCTCTGTCTTACTGCTTCTAGGATTCGCTATTTGTCTTTAAACTTTGCCATTTTAATTATGATGTGTCTTGGTGTGGGCCTCTTTGGGTTCATCTTGATTGGGGCTCTCTGCACTTCCTAAACTTGTGTGACATTTTCCTTCACCAGGTTATGGAATTTTTTAGCCATTATTTCTTCAAACAGGTTCTTGATCCCTTGCTCACTCTCTCCTCCTTCTGGTACCCCCATGATATAGATGTTGCTAAGGTTGATGTTGTCCCAGAGGTCCCTTAGGCTTTCCTCATTTTTTAAAATTATCTTTTCTTTTTGACTCTCTGCTTGGGTGCTTACTGTTATCTTGTCCTCTAAACTGCTGATTCGATCCTCTGCTTCATCTAACCTAATGTATTCTTCATTTCAGATATTGTATTCAGCCTGGCCAGTGTGACTCAGTGAATTGAGGGTCGTCCCATGGACTGAGAGGTCCTGGTTTGACTCCTGGTCAGGGCACGTGCCCAGGTTAGGGGCTCAATCCTTGGTGGGGGGTGTGTGCAGGAGGCAGCCGATTGATGTTCCTCTCTCACATTGATATTTCTATCACTCTCTCCCTTAAAAATCAACAACGAAAAAGAGGTTCTTAAAAAAAAAAGATTTTGTATTCATTTCTGACTGGTTCTTTTTATGCTTTCTATGTCTTTTAATTCTGTCTATCTCTTTGTTTAAGTTCTCACTGAGATCATTCATTCTTCTCCCAAGGTTCTTGAGCATCCTTATAAGTATTGTTTTAAACTCTGCATCTGGTACCTTGCTTGCTTCCATTTCGTTTAATTCTTTTTCTGGGGATTTCTCTTGTTCTTTCATTTGAGGCATATTTCTCTGCCCTCCCCCCCATTTTGTCTCTGTGTGTTAGGTAGATCTCCTATGACTCCCAAACTTTTTATGATGGCAATCTTCCAGATCACTGGAGCTCGGTGCTCCAGGAATGTTTCTTGTGGTTATGTGTACCCTCTGGTTGTAGCTGAATCTTGAATGCTGTTGGCTCTTTTGTCGGTGGAGTTAACCCTTCCGGCTGGGTGACTATAAGGATAAACCTTGATCACTGTGTGAGTCACTGCAGGAGCTGCTCCCTGACGTGGTGTTATTCTCAGTATGGTCTGGTGCCAGACGGACTTATCCTTTGGGTGTGCTGCTTATGTGGTTAGTTGGGTCGAGCTCTGGTGTGGTCTGAAGCCCACCACTGGTTGTGTTGGCTCTGGGTCCACTTTGGTGGGGTTTAGGTACAGGTTGACGTCAGATGAGTGTAAATGGCCTGGAGCTATCATGCTATTCATTGTTTTTAGCTGTGTCTACTGATCCTGGGTGTGCGTAGGAAGGGTCAGTCTGTTTACAAGGGTCAGCTTCCTCCAGATTTAAGCTGGAGACAGATCTATAAAAGGTCTCAGACTCCTTGAGGTCCTCCCCCCTGAGGTTGCCTTTCTGTATCTCCACCCTTCTTACCAGTCTCTATGTGGCTTTTTCTGTAAATCGTTGGTTATGGTATTTCAGTTCAGCTAGCCCTCAGTTGGTTATTCAGGTTGTTTGCTCTATAATTTAGCTGTAAATCCAGTTTGGTGCCAGGAGGAGGTGAGTGTAGCTTCCATCTACTCTGTAGCCATCTTGGAATCCCCAGAGATTTTCAATTCCCTGAGCTCGGAAGGCAGAAGCTGCCTGTTAGCTGCCTCACAGCTCCGATCCACCTTCTGGTCCATTGCCCTACTGAGGTTTTATGGGTTTATCTCTCAAGAACCACAAGGGGGAAAGACAGGGGCTTTTTAATGGCTCCTTTCTGACATACAAATATCCCTCCTTTCTGGACAGATGGATGCCTGCCTGGGTGTCAGGATCTGTGAAGGCTTCAGTCAAAATAACGATTCCCAGCTTTTACGGGCTTCCCTGGCACTCTCCGTGGAAGGAGGGGGACCCCAGTCCCGCTTCCACTGACTGAGAAGTGTGGTGAAGCAGGCATGGGCTCTGGAGTCTGCAAGTCCTAGGCCTTGGCCCCAGTTTGGCCAGTGGTCAAGCCACATAACCTTAGACCAGTTTTCTCACTGTCAAAACAAGGAAAGTAACACTAGTGGCTAGAATGGTTTTAAGGATTAGCCGACGAAACACGTCTAGCCCATGGGAGGCACATGCCAAATAAAGATTCCTTTCTCCTCTGCAGCCTGATCCTGGACCCACCCTGAGGAGACATGGGCAGTGAGGAATGGAAATGAAATGAGTAAGCAATTAAATTCAGATGTTAATAACAGAGCCTTAACTACACAGGCTTACATGAATATGAAGTTTATAAAACTCTCATAAAAAGAGCCCAGTGCTGGGCAGTCGGGGGCTGGTATGGCAGCTCTATAGTAATCAGGGTCCCAGTCTCCTTCTACATTTCTGCTTTGCTTTCTTTAGCATGGGGCTTCCATCCTCAAGGTCACAAGATGGCTGCTGGAGCTCTGGTCATCATCATTCCAGGCAGAATAGGTTTAGGAAGAAAGAGAAGGTCAAGGGGCAAAGAGGACTCCTCACAGCTAAATGAGCCACCTCTAAGCTTGAAACAAAGCTGGGATGTGGTCTTTTAGCTGGATACAATGTTATCTCTAATAAAATCCAAGGAAGATGAGAATACAGAGTTGATATTCATGGGTATAGCAGCAGTGTTGTTAAAATATTGAAACATCTCCTTACTGATGAAAAAAATTCCTTTTCCCAAGCCTGGCCCCAGTGTCCCTCCTTGTTGCCCTGACCCCTCCTCTATTTCCCCAGGACCCAGCAACAGAAGGGTCAATGCCTGGCCTAGTAGAGACCCTCCAGAAGTGTCCTTGAGCACTGGGCAAGCATCTACTCTGATTGGTTGTTGCCCAGACTATATGGCGGTGAAATATTTCAGACATCACCTTTGAAAGAATAGGTGCCAGGTACGTGAATAGCTTAAATGACGGTTCCTAAGCAGCCGCACAGGATGAAGAAAAAGGAAATGAGCAACCACTCAAGGGACACAGAACACTGCTACTGAACAAGACTTAGTCTGCTCTTTAAGACAAGAAGTATCTTAGAACTGGGTGATCAAGGCCCCTAGTCTGGGTTCCATGCTCCAGAGGGCCCTGCACCGGCCACACTCCTGCCCTTGGGCCGAGCCCAAAGGACCAGAGGGACAGCCATCTGGAGCATATTCTCCCCTTCTTGGCATACTCTGTGATCCTAGGACCCCAGAAGGCCCCAGCAGATGGCCCTAAGCCCCCTACCAGGGACTGCCTGGCCTGCTTCCCTTGTCCACCCTCCCAAGAGTGCACATCACCATCTGTTCACAGCCTTAGGTAGCCAAGGGGTGAGTGTTTGCAGAAGGAGTGTTGGGGGGAGAGGGGGCAGGAAGCGGACAGGGCTAGACCATGTGAGCATGTGTGCACACCAGGCCCCTCCCAGTGTGGGACCAAGCCCCATAGGGTGGTAGAGAAGGGGCCAACTGTGCTCCGGGGCAGAACTCTGAGGAACCCAAGAGTTCTGAATCCCTTCCTGGCCTTTTACATCACTGTGAAGTTACAGTCTTCAACATACTTTATGCAATGGCTGGTAAGGTTGGTTTTAATTTTATTTCATTTATTTATTTATTTTTATCCTCACCCGAGGACATTTTTCCATTTTTTTTTGTTCAGATAGAGTGGGAGGGAGAGAGAGGAACAGAGAGAGAGAGAGAAACATCGACGTGAAAGGGACACATCAAGTGGCTGCCACCCGCACGACCGACCAGGGCCGAGGACAAACTGCAACCGAGGTACGTGCCCTTAGCAGGAACCGAACCCGGGTCTCTCAGGACTGCAGGCCGACGCTCCAACCGCTGAGCCAAACCGGCCAGGGCAAGGTTGGTTTTAATTTTAAATATTTAGAGATGATGTGGCATATGGGCTTCTGTGTATACTATTGTCCTGGACCCCAAGAAAGTTAGGAGCGAGTGTGTACACGATCACCCGCTAGTAAGTTCGGTCTCCGTATCTTTGCGAGGGAATAATCAGACGGGGAGCAGACCTGAACAGAGCAAAGCCCAGGGGGTGGCCATGAGCAGGACCATCGAGGCAACGAAAGCCTACGGCTTCCCTTCCCATATCTGCCTGTCTGTTGTGGGGTCCCTGGGTGCCCCTCACAGTATCATGAAGCAGGGCTGTGGCTCTGAGGTCTGGCTGCATCTTGTTTGACTACCACCCTGGTCATCAAGGGTCCCTACAAAGGACATTTCATGAGCGTCTTCCGGGGGCCAGGCTGTGTGATGGCAAGCAGCAGTGCAGGTGACACTCGTGGTGAAGGAGGTGGGATCATCCATCAGTGTCACCCTCGAGCCTACAGAGAACTGCAGGTGGAAGAGGCTGTGTGTATGGATAGTGCTGGTGGACCAGGCAGATGCCACAGACAAGACACCCCTACAAAAAAAACTGCAGATGGAGCCCTGGCCGGTTTGGCTCAGCGGTTAGAGCGTCGGCCTGCGGTCCTGAGAGACCCGGGTTCGGTTCCCGTTAAGGGCACGTACCTCGGTTGCAGTTTGTCCCCGGCCCTGGTTGGTCGTGCGGGTGGCAGCCACTCGATGTGTCCCTTTCACATCGATGCTTCTCTCTCTCTTCCTCTCTTTCCCTTCCATTCTATCTGAACAAAAAAATGGGAAAATGTCCTCGAGTGAGGACTAAAAAAAAAAAACCACAAAAAAAACTGCAGATGGAAAGACCCCAGCCCCGTCTCTGGAGGAACCCCTCTTCTCCAGCGAAAGAAAAATCGAGAGCTTTGGGAATGGTCTGAGCCGCCCCTTTCCCCACTGGCCTGCCAGAAGTAACAATTTTGGCCCACCTTTCTATACAGTGACTGATAGACTTGGGACACAGCATGACAGCTGCGACAGGGATATGACCTGCTGCTTTTTTTAAATTTTATTTTTGTTACAGATGTTTCTCCTTTTTTACCCCATTGACACCCTCCTCCCCATCCCCCCTGCCCCGTCCCTGGCTTTGTTGTTTATGTCCATTGGTTATGCGCACATGCACTTAAGTTCTGTGGTTTATCCCTTCCCTCCCCCCACCACCCCGTCATCTGAGGGTTGTCATTCTGTACCCTACTTCCATGTTTCTGGGTCCACCCTATTCCTCAGACTGTTATGTTCATTATATTCCATAAATAAGTGAGATCATGTGGTATTTGTCTTTTTCTGCTTGGCTTGCTTCACTGAGGATAATACTTACCAGGTCTCTCCATGTGGTCTCAAAGGATAAGAGATCTTTCTTTCTTACGGCTGCATAGTACTCCATTGTGTACATGCACCACGGCTGACCTGCTTCTTGATCTTGCCCCAGCTTACAACCCAGTCCTCGCTTCCCTGGGCTTCCCAGGAGCAGCTCCCGTCTCCCTGAAGTACCCCATCCCACATCCTCTTTCCCTGGACCCAACTCTCACTGTGCTTGGGCTTCTGGAGACAATGGTCACAGCTGAGACCAGCCACACATATCGGCCAGCCTGGGGTCTCTGGCTCTTGGGGACTAAGAGTAGCTCCCTAAGACGACGACAAGTTTAGTGTATTGGCATAGTGTTCATGCGTCTCCCAGCAAAAATTCCCAGTGATTTCTGGTTTCTTGTGAGTAAATGTTTTTCAGTATATATGTGTCTACAGCTATCATTTTCAGTGAAAAATCTTTATTTATTTTTTTTATCCTCACGCGAGGACATTTTTTCATTTTTTGTTCAGATAGAGTGGGAGGAAGAGAGAGAGAGAGAGAAAAACATCGACGTGAAAGGGACACATCGAGCCCTGGCCGGTTTGGCTCAGCAGTTAGAGCGTCGGCCTGTGGTCTGGAGGGACCCGGGTTCGGTTCCCGCTAAGGGCACGTACCTCGGTTGCAGTTTGTCCCCGGCCCTGGTCGGTTGTGCGGGTGGCAGCCATCGATGTGTCCCTTTCACGTCGATGTTTCTCTCTCTCTCTCTCTGTTCCTCTCTCTCCCTCCCACTCTACCTGAACAAAAAATGGAAAAATGTCCTCGGGTGAGGATAAAAAAAAAAAAAAGGGACACATCGAGTGGCTGCCACCCGCACAACCCAACCAGGGCCGGGGACAAACCGCAACCAAAGTACATGCCCTTAGCGGGAACCGAACCCGGGTCTCTCTGGACCGCAGGCTGACGCTCTAACCGCTGAGCCAAACCGGCCAGGACTCAATGAAAAGTCTGTATTTAAGCCCTGGTCAGTTTGGCTCAGCGGTTGGAGCCTGCGGTCCAGAGACACCCGGGTCTGACTCCCGCTAGGGGCATATACCTAAAGAAAGAAAGAAAGAAATGTGTATTTAAAACATTGCATGGCTTTGAAGAAGCAAGTAAGTTTAGGAAAACAAAAGGGAGAGAGAGATTGTGAGGTAGAGAGATACAGTATCTCACTTCCTGAGAGAGGCTTCGCCAATATCCCAAACAGCATCCAGACCCTCTCTGATACTCTCTCTTGGCATCCAACATTTTTTCTTCAGGGCATTTATCTTGACTTGTAATTATATATTTACTTATAAGGTAATTTGTTTTCTGTCTGAAGTTCGGCGCTGTGCCCATTTTATTTTCAAATGTACACTCTTTGTCTAGCACACTTTAGGCACTCAATAAATATATGGAAAAGAAATTCAGGAATTCTTCAAGGGAATGGATCCAAAAACAAGGTTTCAAGAATTTGCAAAAGTGAGACCAGCTTCCATGTGCTCTCAAGTCAATTCCAATTATTGCTTGGGATTCTGCCCCCAAAGAGATCAGAGACGAGGCTGCTATTGTCCTGCGCCTCAAATATGCACCTGACAGCATCTTGCCCTTCTCCTCAGCTGTCCCAGTTACAATCGCTACGCGACAAATTTTTCTGAGATTTAGTGGCAAAAAATAAAATAATTATGCTCATAGATTCAGCAGGTCTGAGGTTCAGACAGGACACAGCAGGGACAGCTTTTCTTTGCTCCGTGATATCTGGGGTCTCAGCTGAAAGACTTGGAGGCTGGAGAATAAAGTCGGCCATCGGCTGGGACCTCAGTTTCTCTCCCGTGAGTCTGTCCATGTGGGCTCTCCACGCGGGCTGCTTTGGACTTGCCCACGGCATGGCGGCTGGGTGCTAAGGGAAAGATCTCAAGAACAAGGTCAAGTGGAAACTACATGGCCTTTTATGACCCAGTCTCAGATGTCACTTAGCATCACTTCTGTCTCATTCTGTTCGTGGAAGCAATTCCAAAGTCCCAACCAGGATGAAGGAGGGGGACTCAGAATCCATCTTACGGGAGAGTGTCATGATTCCAGAGCACGTAGGACCAGCTTTCAGCCTTTGGCTCAGAGGAGGCCTGGGTGCAGGTTTCTTTGGTCATCCTGAATCCGGGTTCCACCGACACCAGCCACCTTTCCTGTGCCACCGAAGTTTGACCCCAGCAAGATTAAAATCGTGTACCCGAGGTGCACCAGTGGGAAAGTCGATGCCACATACGCCCTGGTTTCCGAGACCTGCGCCCTGGCTCTGTCTCCAAAATAGTTTGGTGATGACATCGCCAAAGCAATGGTTGATGAGAAGGCTCTGATGATGACAGTGAAACTGACCATTCAGAACAGGCCCAGGTTGAGGCAGCACCTTCTGCTTCCGCCCTGATCATCAAAGCCCTCAAAGAACCACCACGGGACAGAAAGAAACAAAAACACCAAACAAACAATAAAAAACCATTAAGCACAGTGGAACCATCACTTTTGATGAGATTGTCAACATTGCATGACAGATGCGGCACCCATCTTTAGCTAGAGAACTCTCTGGAACCATTAAAGAGACCGTGGGAACTGCACAGTCTGTGGGCTGCAACGTTGATGGCCACCATCCTCATGACGTCACAGATGACATCAACAGTGGTGCAGTGGA